CTAGAACAATAGTAATAAACAATACCCAATAAAAAAACTAGAACAATGTAATAAACATACACAATAAAAAACTAGAACATGTAATAAACATCACAATAAAAAACTAGACATGTAATAAACATCACAATAAAAAAACTGACATGTAATAAACATCACAAGGCTACGACCTACATTCATACAAAAGCCAACTATTTCTCTGGGAAATTTATTTACGTCACTAGTGCAAGTTACAGTAGCCTAAGATTACACACTACAGAATTATAGGCTTCTCGCAAATGTTACAGTTACCTATTCTTCATCTCACTCATAAAAGTTCCATAACAGCGTTCAACTTAATCTTAAAGCGTTATACACTAAAAATCAGTTTATATAATAAACAAAACTCATGCACGTTACGGATTTAACCACAATGTTAAATGGTGGCGCCACCGTAGAATAGTCACCATGAACTGTATTGAAAAAAAAACAAAAAAACTCGTATAACTTACAGAAACAGTCAGTAGTTTCGTGATAGTTTAGAGGAACCTGGTAGACCCTACTTTCACTATTTTTGCTGTTGTTCATATCATGCAGTTTCTGTGTGCTTGTTGATATTAAAAATCGAAACAATGACAAGAAATGAACTGTAGGTATAGCCATCGTTAAAATTTTGAACTATTGACCAGAGGAAGACGTGAGCAACACCCGACCCCACGACTATCGGCCGGGTTTATGAACTGATAACACGATTGATTGTCACTTTTATAATACACCCATAGATGCAAATGCGGAGTGTTCAGCAGCAACATCTCGAACCCTGGACCTTTCTATCTGTAGCCCGACACAATAATCACTGCCACACTCTCTCTCGAACTTTTCAACTAGGAATGACTAACATTCTATCGTCTTAAGTGTGTGTATGTTTAATTGGAAATACTACAGAGACTGTTTGGTCGTGACGTTGAATTGAGGATTTTGGTTTTTCTAACGACTGTGTTAGTAGCTTCGAACTCATCTCCTTCATCTACTCTCAACACATACAAATCTAGTGGGTAGCATAATCTGGTGTCAGTGTGCTGAAAGAACAACCAGAAAGCAACCAACTTCTTGGAGTTGACCCGTGGTGAACAATATGATGGCTTTGTAAATTAACCGTGGAAGGGATGCGTGTAACAATTTCCAGAACTCATCATTTCAACCCTTTATAGCTGGTATAGAATATATATGTATGTTAAAATATATACATATACAGAATATACGGTATGTTATGCAGATAATATTTTCTAAACTCACTCTGATCCTTTATTTACTTTAGATGATGATTACATTCCGCAAACTATAATGACTACTCCATAGAGGCTATGCCTGCTTGACCTTGTTTTTATGTCAGTCCCAAGGAGTGAAGTTCGGCTCATTTCTAGGAGCGATACACACACATAAATGAGTTGGTGGGAATTGGGAATTTGCCTCCCTTTAACACGTTTGATTGGAATTATCGTTGATGTAGGTAATCTAAGGATTGTGGGATACGGCAGCAGGGACCTGGTTTTAAAAAGCCTTCTTTTCACCCCAGAAGCTAGTTGCAACGATACAGAGAGATGGAAGTTAGCTATTCGGTTAATATTACGTTACTGCATGAAAAATTTTGTTTTATTCACTTGCGTTTGCCTTTTTTTTTTTTTTTTTGTTAGTGCGTATTCAGTATTATTCTCCATCAAACATTTCTGGTATCTGCGTTATGCAGAAACTTGTAATCATCTGATTATTAGTCAAACGCTTACTTCGGCTTAGCATCAAAGAATCAAGAATCTTTAATGATAAATTTGAACGCAGTTGCTTGAGTAAGGGAAAATTTTCTTCAAAACAAATACTCTGAAATAACCAATGACCTCAGTTTACATAACGCCAAATCATCTGGTGGTAAAATCCATTCAGGGCCTGCAACTCTGAGCAACTGCAAAGATGTTAACAACTTACCGGAGCAACACATCTTCACGTGAAAGTGCTAACACATCCAGTTAGAATATTTTTCAATGGAAAAAAAGAATCATCGATAAAAATAAAAAGTGTAAAATATCATCATAATAGGAGTTGTGACTACAAAAATTCACCTTAAAAAGCTTAACAATGTAATTTACATATTGTTAATTTGTTCTGATGGAAAAGACGTTTGTTTTAAACAAGAAAACCCGTTACCAGTTTCTACATTTAAAGTATGTCCTAGACTGTTTTCAGCTATTTTTTTTTTTTAAATGATGCCCAAGATTGTTACCAGTTTTACCTTTAAATGCACGCCCAAGATGAAATCCAAACGCTGTAATAACATTCGGGGTTGTATATTCGACACAACACAATTAGGTCCAAATAATCAAATAAACCATTAAACAAAGTTTTGCCCCAAATAAAACTAGCACACGAATGTTATCCTAATGACAGCTGACTAATCACAACTGTACTTTTAAAGTAGCAATTTAAGCCAAGACCGTGATACGAGATATCTGGACTGAGTGAAACAGAAAACCTTGCTCTTCACCCCCAAGTAGACAGTTTCAAAAAAGAAAACAGTGACGTCATGACTGCACGACTACCAGTAACCTAGTGCCTCGGGGAGGGGGGGCAGAAGCCTTGCAGTTACACGTTCATAACGCTGGGGAGCACGAGTTAAAAAAGTATAAATCAATACCGAAAGGATAAGAAGGGGAGATATGTAAACACAAATTCTAAAGTGTGACACATTTAAAATGCTTAATTGAAAGTTAAAATGCTAGAAAATGAAGAAAATATAACACTACGAACTTGAAATAAGTGCAAGAAAACAAACTGGGAAAAAAGACAACAGTGTTTAAAATTTCTAAATTTATTAAACTGGTTTGATCACTATGTAGATTACGTAGACTAACTTTGAATAGGATAGAAAGCACTTAGCATGCACAACGAGTCTTACACTTACTTATTAAGAACAGCCTTCCACTATATCGCTCAGTCTGTTACCCAGTTAATGTGTTAGCTGAAAACGTCGTTACAGATTCGACAAAAAAGAAAAAGGAGCATGGCTGTTCTTGCAATACACACACAAGCACACACACACAGACAGACACACACATTAAAACTGAACTTAGTAATCATTATTTTAGTTATGAAAGTCTTAAGGAATTGAAAACAACAAACAACACAATACTAAGCTGAATAAAAGTGATGATTTCATTTTAGCCAAGTCCGTTCTTAAAAGATTTGAAAAAACACGTGCTTTTCAGGGTACCCACCTGATGTAAAAGTCCACGCTTTCTTTACGGTAAGTCCTGCAAGAAGCGCGCACGTGACTACCCACCACATGGTAATAGAGCCTAGAGGCCCAAACACTTTCAAATTGTCAGTTGTGATAGGAAGAAACATGCGTGATGCATCCCTAGTCTATCAAGTTGATCAGTTTCAGCCAAGTCACGAAAAGTCTGGTGTCACAACACTACTCGACTGAGGAACTAAGGTAGTATCCACCGACCGTAACTACACCAGTCCACGACGTGATGAACGCTGGTGGGACGTCTTTCTGTGACGTATACTTAACAAACCAGCCTTAGGAGTTTAAAAACCTCTAGTGGTAGAAGTAAGAACTAGATTTTTTTAAAGCACTAATTCAAGTCTAGTTACATTAAAAATAAACGGAGGAAAATGTAAAACTGTAAAAACACCTTAACTTGCCTTATTAAAACTGAAAAAAACACCTTAACCTGCCTTATTAAAACTGTAAAAAACACCTAAACCTGCCTTATTAAAACTGTAAAAACACCTTAACCTGCCTTATTAAAACTGTAAAAACACCTTAACCTGCCTTATTAAACTTAAAAAAAAACACCTTAACCTGCATTATTAGGTGCAGTGTCAAATGAACTTGTAATTACTATTTCTGGTTAGTATTAATATTTATTGAATATTATTAAGTAGTAATGAAGATCAATCAATATACTATGTAACTGCACCATTAGAATATACATTTTAAACAGAGAAAAAAAAATACTATATCAGATAAAATATCGGTCAAATTAAGGAAAAGGTTTTGTTCAGGAAATTAATACCTGTATAATAACAATAAAGATATTTCGAAACTGTTTACTTTATAACATTTGCGCAAAACTACACAAGAGTTATCTATACCTATGCATGGTAGTCCATAATTTAGGAAGACAAGGAGCCAACAGTGCCCACCGCCAACCCTTCGAATACTCTTGTTTAATCGAGTAATCGGATCTAGCCATCACTCTCACTGTGCATCTATGGCTCCAAAACGCGGAGCACATTTTTCGGCATGGGACGCGAGCCATGAACCATTTGATTCACAATTCGTACGCGATATACACTAAACCACGCCACCTCTCTCCCAATTAGCAATGACACAAAGTTTGGTATTTATGATCTAAACTCTGTACAGCAGCGCGTCCTAGTGATTAGCGTGCCATGATTTGCGTCCGGTTGCTACAAAAACAGAACAAATCATGGCTTGTACTTTGAGATAGTGGTGCATTATAAGAGTGACAGCCAAATCCCACTATCCCGTCTGACAAGACTAGTTGAACAGTTGGCTGTGGGTGATGCTGATTAACTGCCCTCCCTCTAGTCAATCATTTTAAAAGTATGGGTCAACCAGCGCAAATAGCCCTTGTGTAGCTTTACGCGAAATTCGAGAAACAGATAAATTTGATTGCTTTTGGTTCAAAACTTCTTCAGCTTTCTGTACTTTTATAATATTGAAACGTTCATTCCTATAGTTCTGATTCAAGAATTGTTTTATTGCCAGTCTTACAGTCTTCTATTCCCATACACCTCAAGCCTAACACTAGTGCTTCACAACCGTTTCTATTACCCAAATACGACCAGTTTTCATTAATGATTCAGATCCTCTTCTATCACCAAATATGTACAGTTTAACACTTGTGCTTCAGATCCTTTTCTATTACCCAGATACTTCCAGTTTAACATCAATGTTTCAGATCCTCTTCTATTTCCCAAATATGTCCAGTTTAAACAAATGCGTCAGAGCCTCTTCTATCACCCAGATACTTCCAGTTTAACACTAGGGCTTCAGATCCTCTTCTATCACCAAATATGTACAGTTTAACACTCGTGCTTCAGATCCTTTTCTATCACCCAGATACTTCCAGTTTAACACTAGGGCTTCAGATCCTCTTCTATCACCAAATATGTACAGTTTAACACTCGTGCTTCAGATCCTTTTCTATCACCCAAATACTCCCAGTTTAACACTAGTGCTTCAGATTGTCAGATATAAAAGACTGTTTAGTGTATATAGTAATATTAATTTATTTATTTTGTGTTTGTAATTCATTGATGTCGAGGCTCTCAAACGTTGTGTTTAAAATCCATTGATGTCTAGGCTATGGGTATTTCTAGAAGGCCTAAGTGATAGAATTATAAATAGCTGCGACCAGACGAGCGGAAAAGAGAAAAAGTAAAGTCACGTGAAAAAGAAGTTCAGTCAGAGAAAGGTTAGAAAAAGTAAAGTTAACCATCATGGGAGTAAATGGTCTAACCGCTGATATGTTAGAGTGAGAATAACAGTTTGAAAGAGATGTGGAGAATAATTTGTCTGATCAAAGGGTGTTCTAAACTAATTGAACCCGCCTGTGTGGACTTTGACGAAAAGCAGACGATTATTAGTAGTACGAAGAGCAGCGAATAACAGACAATTATTGGAAGTTCAGAATACAATTGCAGCAACTCACGCGACTGCGTAAGTGAATTATCATCATCATCATGGGCCGTCTTACTCAGGAAGGTTAGCTGTCACAGTTCTCCACTTCTATCTCTTCTGTGCTTTTCTCACCAGGTCTTCATATTTTGCTATCTCAGTCCACTTATTAATATTTGTTATCCACTCGGTTCTTGGTCTTTCCCTGTATCTTTCCCGTTCTATTAGATCCTCTAGTAGGACTCACTGGATGTTGTCTCGTCTCATCATATGACCAAAATATGCTACTTTTTCTTCTTGGTGGTTGGTACAACATATCTTTCATACTCACCATACTGAGAACCTGTCTATCCAGGATATTTTCATCATCTTTCTGTACACCCGCATCTCAAATGCTTCCAGTTTATTAACCAATGCTTGTGTCAAGGTCCATGTTTCACAGCCATATAAGAGAGTTGACCAAGTGAATTATACATGGATACTATTGCTGTAAAAATAGAGAAAAATAGTTCGGCTTGTCAACTAAATTCTAAAGCAATTGAATTGGCCTAAGTGGAAGACAAGAAGAAGAGAACAGTATAGTGTTTAAGATACAACTATGATCTCCATAGTGTAAATTACTGTGCAAAAGTGTTAGGAGAAACTCAAAAAATTGATTTCAGGCTACTTTCAAAGAACAATGGAAGGTAAATCACAGGTGAAACA